CTTAAACATATAATCAAAAAGAAAAGAGCTGCTTAAGCTAAAGCACATTTATAATACAATTCTATGAATTCTATGCTTACATTTCTAACAACACGCGATGTTTTTTCAAACTGACAACAATTGACAAACCTTCGACGAACAATTATATCGATTGAATATACATCCCTCTAAGAATAATTTTAATGTTAGAGACCGCTCACGAAACTTTCGCGAAGGTTGGCGCAGGCGCTACATTCAACTCTGATACGATGAATTGCCTGTCTAAGGCAGTGCACTGTGCGCCTTCGTGAAGCAATCATGCCGAATTTCAAATCTGCACCAGAAAGCGATGAATCAAAAAAACATAACGATTATAGTTTACAATTGAATCGATGGTTTCTTATGTCAATCGGTGCATGGCCACAAATAAACGCGTCGAACTCATTGTGGAAAATCTTCGTGTTTCTTCAAATTATTATTTGTTGGTCCATGGTAGCGTCCATAACGGTACCGTGTTTATTTTACGTGCTTTTTGAAGACGACAATATCAAACTAAAATTGAATGCTGTTGGGCCGCTACTTCACAGGGTCATGGGGTCGATAAATTATTGGGTGTTGCTCAAACGCAGTGATGATATTTGGCAATTAATGCAACATATGGAAGCAGATTGGAGGAACATTCAAAAGATAGACGATCGCGAAGTGATGCTGAATTACGCCAAGTTCGGTCGTTTCATCACTGTAATCTGTGGGGTAATCATGCAAGGAGGTACATTTCTATTCAGTTTAGCCAGGGCGATGAAAACGGCAACCATTATCGTCAACAATCAGACTTTTACGACACACCCGATGACATGTCCAATCTATAGCAAAATCATCGATACGAGATTCAGTCCTGTAAATGAAATCGCGTTGGTTGTACAGTTTTTATCAACGTTCGTAGTGAGTTCTTCTACCGTCGGTGCATGTAGCTTGGCTGCTGTCTTTGCGATGCACGCCTGTGGTCAATTGAATGTGCTATACGCGTGGCTACGAGATCTCGTTGAGAACCAAGAAAAGGAAAATCATGCTGAAAAAGAGATGGCAACTGTTGTCGAGCATCATCTAAGAATATTGAGGTATCTAAACATAGGTGTATGTATATATATATATATATATATATATATATATATATATATATACAGTTATAAGTTCTAAAGTTTTCGACTTAATTGAGATAATTTGAATTAATTATTAATTGCTTCAATAAATACTTTCGTTAAGACAAAATAAAGTTATTTTTTCTTAATTATAGAAAAAGTATTTGTTATCATTATATTTACAAAGAGTATCATACAATGATACATTACGGATGTTCCGTTTGCAAAGGAAATTCTATTGCATTATAGCTACATGTCTATATACGTTTCAGTTTTATATCACGTCTGGAAAGTATTATGCATAAGGTTTCTCTCGGAGAATTGATGGGATGCACGATAAATATGTGTTTGCTTGGATATTATACCATTATGGTATGCTAGAGACGTAAGAAAATGAAGATCTTATTAAACGCATCTATGTAACTTATTTAAGAAAAGTCAAACATTGCTATTTCACTACAAAATGTGTAAAATCGCTAGATTTTAATATAAAGATGAGCCTTTTTTAATTTTTAGGCTTGGGAAATGCTCGATAAAGCAAAAATAACATCTTATGTTATTGTATATTTATCGATGGCTTTTAATATTTTTATATTTTGCTACATTGGAGAAATTATTACAGAGCAGGTAAAGCAAAGGATATATTTTAAAGTTAATTGAATTAATAAACATAAGATATAACATTCAACTATACACAAATGCTTAAATAGTTGTCTCATTTTTAGCAAAACTGAATATTTCTATTTTATATACTTTATTAATTTAAATTATCTAATCTTTTTAATTATTTATAAAGAATTCAAATTCTATAATAATTTGATAGTGCAAATTAGTCGGAGAAATGGCATATATGACAGATTGGTACAAATTGCATCATAAAACTGCACTTGGTTTTGTTTTGATTATTGCTCGATCGGGTAATGTGATTAAGATCACCGCAGGAAAGTTAGTCCATTTGTCTATCGCAACTTTTTGGCGATGTAAGTAATGTAGATATACTTTTCCTATATATTTTGTTAATAAGAAATTATATTTTTCTTATAGTTTATTAATTATATGATTAAGTAATTTGATTATTTTATAAAAATGAGATTTTTGTATTTTTTCAAATTATATCTCTTATTGTAAGAATAATCATATACTTAATTATATATTTATTCACATATTTAATCTATAAAATTTTAAATGTTAATATATTTAATCTGTAAAACATAATTACTTTTATATCGTATACACACGAACACGTTGTTTCAGGTAATGAAAACTTCCATTGCGTATTTAAATCTTTTGCGGACACTGACATAATCATATGAAACAAGTTACGAAATATGCAAAGATATATTTTATATAGAATAAATTAATATATCTTCAAAGTAATTTAATAAAAAAAATTAATTACTATATAAATAAGAATAATGATTGTCAGTTGTTAAATTATTTTTATATTTATATTTACACATAACATTTTGTGATTTTCCTGATATTTTTATTATCTCTATATTTTATAAGGGATTACTTATTTGTGAAATTTACAGTACAAGAAACATAATAAAAATATAATCAAACAAGAAAGAATTGTTATAATTTAAATATATTTAATAATATCATGTTTATGCATTTATTTATACAGTCTTCGTGATATTTTCCATAATTGATTATATTATAAACTCACAGTTATTTCGGGATTAATTCCAATATTAGCTGTTCACCAACTTTCTCGAAAGCAATCAGTGCTCTGCAAGCACTTTTTCATGTTGATGTCTGGCACTATAAATCATTTACAAAAGCATATTGCTTTTTGTAAAGTAACCGTATTAAAGTCTAAGAGTGTGACAGAAAGCATGATGATTACAATTTATAATTGCGCGATGATTTCTTCCTTGATAGTTTCCATTTAAATATATCATATGTATTAAATTAATTGCTTTTAATAAATTATTAAAATTTTAATATATCATCTATTCTGTGAAAAGCAGAGATATGTTTGTAAAACTAAACATAGGCTAATATATTCTGCAAAAAAAAAACACTTTGTCAAATGTTAAGGCTGTATTTCAATTTTACAACAAGCATAAAAAATATTATTCATAAAGTCTTTATACGTTTTTTTAGTAGAATATAAGCTAAATTATATTTTATATTGTTAGTACAAAGAGTAATGTGTAAATGTATTACTAGTAATACATTATAATTTTTTAAATAAAAAATGATAAATAATTATCATTTTTAATAGCAGTGAAGCTGTAGCAGTGAAAAAATAAATTAATTTTTTTCTCCAGAAAGTGATAAATAAAGTTGCTTTTTCTAAAATTGTATACAATAAATAATATTAATAATTTTATGATTATATACTCACAATTTAATACCTAAATCCAAATCTGTAGACAATAATATCTTTCCTAAACACATTGCACTATAACTCAGTCCATTATTTTGGTATAAATTTCATTGATGTATCGATTAAAAAAAAGTTTCTTCCTTTTCTTCCAAAACGAATCAATATATATATATATATATATATATATATATATATATATATATATATATAAGCAAAGACATCATATTACATATTATTCACTGTTGCCATATTCTGAACGGATAAGGCTGACAATATAATAATTATAACAAAGGACAAAATGGAGCTACCACAGACTAATTAATAATTTCTTCTCATTTGTATAAATAAAAATGCAGAGATATATGAGTTACAATAAAGTTACCACAATAGAGTTTCAAAGTTATAGCAACGAAAAGGTGGACGAATCGCGTGACGAAACAATGTAACAATCTGTTGTGTTCTCGCCATGAATTCACCACCACTTCAACTCGCTATCATTGCAAATATCGATTACGTGAGAGACGTGTGTATTAAACGAAAGTGTGGCCGGTACACCGCGCACGCGTTACTCGGATTATTACCTTGCGTACGTTTCGAATCAACTGCGCAACTACTCAATCGTATTCGTGCGCCAACGAAGCGAATATGAAGAGACTCTCACAGAGCTCGCCGATCATATTTAACTACATAAAGAACAAAGAATACAGCATACAGCTGCTTCGTTGGCTACTGAAGCCGATAAGTGTCTGGCCGGTAACAAATTCGTCCATCGCGGATAGGATCTTGTCGGTGGTGTTGCTAATATTATGCACTTTTTTGATCATCGGCACCTTGGTGCCTTGCGCATTGGCCATCTTTTTCGATGAGACCAAAGATCTGGAGATGAAAATACGCGATTTCGGGCCGCTCAGCAATTGGATGCTGGCAAGTCTCAAATATACCTCATTGCTGACGCACGTCGGCGACATACGCCGATGCATCGATTATATCGAGGCAGATTGGCGGGCCGTGACAAAGTTCGAGGAGCAAGAGATGATGTTGAATAGTGCCAGGATCGGTCGTTTCATTGTCATATTCTCCGCATCGTTCGTTCATAGCGGCGTATTCTCGTACAGCATCTTCCGAGGCATGACGATGGACAAGTCTGGCGTTGAAGACGACAACGTGTCGGCGCGCTCGTTGCCTTTCGCATTCTACGATAAGATTCTGGACACCACGATAAGTCCAATGTACGAGATAGTGTTTGCAATACAGTTTTTATCCACGTTCGTCGTTAATTCCGTTGTGGTAGCCGCCTGCAGTATTACTGCTGTTTTCGTGCTACATGCATGCGGTCAGTTAAAAATTCTCATGTCTTTACTAGATAATTTCACTGACGAAAGAAACGAAAAGAAAGACTCTATCCAAAAATTTTCTGTCATCGTTGAGCATCACTTAAGAATTCTCAGGTAAAAATCTAATATATATATATAAATAATTTTCTTAATTTTTTATATATAATATATAATTGATGACAAATTCAGCTCTTAAAAAAGACTTCCATAAATTTACTTTATATTGTTTTTAATTAAATATTGTTATATTATATATTGATCTATCATTCAATGAATATATCCCAAAATATGTTAATAATATTTGTTTATATGCAGAAAAATGTGCAAACAACTGATATACATTATATCATACTTATTCTTAAATATATTTTTAGTTTCGTGTCTCACATAGAGAAAATTACGAATATAGTTTGTCTCATTGAAATAGTAGGATGCACGCTACATATGTGTCTCTTGGGTTATTATTGTATACTGGTACGAATACTGTGAAATTTGCTTGCAGCTCATTGCCTATTACTCGTATAAATCACAGAATGTTTTTTAGGACTGGAATCAAGATGAAAAACAAGGCGTAGTGGCATATGGTATAATACTGATCTCAGTTACTTTCAACATCTTTATATTTTGTTATATCGGAGAGATGCTTTCAGAACAGGTAACTGTAAAAACAGCGTCTGTCAAAAATATCAATGATCTTGTTCTATAAGCAATAAAAAATTATGCAATTTATTAATTTCACGTACGAGTTCTATCGAAATACGAGATCATCGCGAATGTACTGTTCGATTTAATCGTAATATAACAGTGCGGCCAAGTTGGTGAAACTGCCTACATGACAAATTGGTATTTGTTACCTGGAAACACTGCTCTCGATTTTGTGTTGATCATTTTAAAATCCAGCATCACAGTGAAAATTACTGCTGGGAAGATGATTGATCTTTCTCTTTCTACTTTCGGTAATGTAAGTATACAAAAATGTATTTTTTTATTTTCAGATACGCATATGCAAATAAAACTTTATAAAAATTTAAATCGTGTATGTCTTATAAAGAAATATAGATAATTTGATTTTACTAAGATTAGTCAAATAATTACAATTACAATTAATTTTTTTACATAGTGACCATATGACCAATAATTGTTACAGGTAATTAAATCCGCGTTAGCGTATTTAAATATACTTCGTACTCTTATTATATAAATATATTAATAATTTTGTATATATTCGATAGATGTTTGTTACAATGAATATGAAGTTAAATAATTAAACAAAAATAATATTAATGAAAACATATCTTATTTAATTATTGTATAATGAATTTGTCAAATTTTTAAAAGAAATTTAAGTATTTTATTCGCTGCTTTAAATTTATTATTGTATATATATATATTTTGTATATGATTAATTTGTCCTCAACAAAATAAATAATTTCACCTTACTCACTGAGATAAAGCACAGACGTGATCTGTTCATACAAAAATCACAAGTTTCACTCAAAAATGGAATATACAGTATAGCAAACTTCCGATAGAAATATCGATTATTCCGCTATTCCTACCTGTTGCCGAGACAGCTGTACAATAACACAATTCACAACATTCTAAAGAATACCCGTCGTGCGTCCAATATCTGCGCACGCGCTGAGCGTTATTACTGTGCGGCAACGAAAAGAGAGTAGCCGCAGTAAGCTGGTTACCTTCGTCAGGGGATCATGGGGGATGATTTCACGAATAGTCGTAGCCTCTCCGCGTCCATTTACTTGGCCGACAAGTACAATGAGTATAGTATCCAAATAATACGGTGGATTCTCAAGGCGATCAGTTTGTGGCCGCTTCCCGTCGACGCCTCATTTGTCGAGAAGATTCGTTTTGATTTCGCAGTATTTATCTGTTACTTTCTAATAATCGCAGTTATGATACCAAGCGGTCTGAGTATATTCGTCGAGTCGCAGGAATCCTTCGAGACAAGGTTTCGGAGCTTCGGCCCGCTCACCTTTTGGTTCTTCGGACTGTTAAATTATTCCTGTCTTCTGATACACATTGACGATATACGCATCTGCGTGGATCACGTAAAAACGGACTGGCGGAACATGACAAAGGTCGAAGATCAAAAGTTGATGCTGAGAAGCGCCAAGAAAGGTCGATTCTTCGGCGCTTTCTGTGCCATCTTCATGCACAGTGGTGTGTTTTCCTACAACGTTTCTCGAAGCTTTGGCAAGGATATCTTACACGTGGGGAATAGCAGTATAGAAGTTCGTGCGTTACCCTACCCTTTTTACAGTAAAATCCTGAATGCACATTACAGTCCAGCGTACGAGTTCGTGTTCCTTATTCAGTGCCTCTCGAGCTTCGTCGTCAATTCTGTCACAGTCGCCACTGCTGGCTTGGCAGCAGCTCTTATATTTCACGCGTGCGGTCAACTGAAGATTCTGATGTCTCGGCTCGACAATCTCGTCGATGAAACTGACGAGAAAAATACTTCCTTAAAACAAAGATACGGAATTATCGTGCGACATCATCTGAGAGCCTTAAGGTAAGCTATAATTTCCGATAATATCGCTCGCTGTAAATCTGATATCTTCTGACATATGCTCCATCATCTATCTAATCAAATTTAATTAAAAAGTTACATAATTAACAATCAAAGTCAACAAATATTTTAAGTACAAATGTATTATGTGCTTATCAGTTCATAATCAAATCGTTATAAAATAATTATAATGGATCGTGATGTTTGTTACATTTACAGTCTTGTAACCCGTGTAGAAAAAATTATGAATTTTATATGCCTCGTGGAATTATTCGGATGTACTTTTCATATATGTATTGTAGGATATTACTGCATGATGGTATGAACATTATTATAGAATATATAATACGTAATTGTAATTTATCTATTTATTGTTGTTTTATTATTCTTAGTTTGTTTATTTACGTAAAACTTAATGTCTCTTTTAGGATTACATTCACGGCAATAACTCAAATGTCGTGTCTTATTCTATGATAATAACTTCGGTAACTTTAAATATTTTTGTATTTTGCTTAATCGGAGAAATGCTTTCAGAACAGGTAATATTTAAAATAAAGAAGAGAAATATAATTTTAATAAGCTTATTTAAAAAATTTAATCGATATGCAACATTCGTGTTAGCATAACTGAAATTTATTATTATTGAGAGATATTGAAACACAATCGCTGGTTGTTTTTAAACACATTATAACAGGCATACAAAACGGCCTTTAGGGCGGACAAATTGCCAAATCTGCCTACATGACAAAGTGGTACCTCTTGACTGGAAACAACGCTAATGGACTCGTTTTGATAATTTTAAGGTCTAATGTAACGGTCAAGATAACGGCTGGTAAAGTGGCTCAACTTTCCATAGCCACTTTCGGTGATGTGAGTATCCAAATATTTTTCAGATTTACATATAAAATATATATTTAAGTTTATATAAAAAATGTTTGTATCATTTTTCATATTTGTGACACTCATACGATATATCTGTATTTTTCAAAGATTAATTAATTTTTCTGAGCAAAGATATGTTATTTTTAATTGCTTCAGGTAATTAAATCTGCATTAGCATATTTAAATATACTTCGGACTGTAATGGTTATGTAAATAATTATACAATCACAGCAAAATATAATAATACGCAAAATAGGCAGTTAATAATAAAATAAATATAGACTTAATAAATATACTTAATAAAAACTTTATGTAATATTTATCTGTATGAAATAATTACCTACAACTTCATAAATCATAAATTAACAAAAGAATATTCTTATCACTATATAGTTTTAACTACATAACTTAGATTTTAATAATAATTATATTACAGAATATTATATATATAAAAAATATCATATATTTAAATGTGCACATAAACACTTTTATTCCTCTCTCTCTCTCT